CAAACCAGAACAGCGTCGCGGACCCAGAACCCACCTCAATGGAGGTACCAATACGGAGAACAGGAAGGAGCTGCCGAGCTGGATCACAGCCTGCCAAAACTGGGATCCACCGGAGCGCTGACAGAAGGCAAAAGGCTGTCCGCGGAGGTATTTATTGCGGATGATGGTAAGCCAAAGCCCCCCTTCCCCATTGGCAATCCGCCAAAGCCAACGCGCCAGGAGAGCGATGTTCATCCGCCTGGAGGATAGGATCCCAAGGCCACCCTGGTCTTTGGGTTTGCTGATGTCAGGCCAGCTCACCATGTGATATTTCTGCTTATCCCCCTCGCCAGCCCAGAAGAACCGGGAAGCTGTTGTACTTAGGAAAGGTTGTTGTTGTGAAGACAATTTAAATTCAACGAACTTGCTAATATCCCTTTATAGAAGACCTTGAATGGATGATTAATGAAGAATGTGTCCTGTCAACCTGTCAAAACTCCAAACTAGTTTGCTGCTGGCTATGAGGCTTATTTGCGACACGTGTCACTGCCTCTCAAGCAACTTCCACCAGAGTTCAGTCAAACCAATAAAATTGTGTAAATCAGTAGCTGCAAGCCTGTGATTGTTGGCAGCTGTCATTTTTTTTAAAACAATTTCCGAGCGGCTTTGAGTCCATCAGTGCTTCATGAAATATGTTATTCCTTTAATTAAATGTGTGCGATGATCCTAATAAGCCGTGTCATATTTTTATTAAGCTTATGTTTGATGCTTTATCCATTCTCTTATTGCCCTTTGGTCAGTTATGTAAAAAGGCAAGTACTAAGTAAACTATTAATTTGTTTTCCAGGTGGCATGGGTTACTAAAACAGGAAATTCTGAGCTGGAAGCTCCTATTGCAATCCGTCCCACGAGTGAGACGGTCATGTATCCATACTTCGCTAAATGGATAAGAAGCCATCGTAACTTACCTTTGAGATGCAACCAGTGGTGCAGCGTTGTTCGATGGGAGTGTAGCAATCCAATTCCTTTAATAAGGTAGCTCATCTGTTTCTTTGAATCATAGAATAGCTCTCTAGCAAATACTTTGTTGCCAACTCTGCTCGAATGTCAACATTCCGATTTGTGCCCTAACATTTTGAACGAAAGGACCAAAGGAAGATTGGTAAATAGACTCGTGCAACTTGGACTTTCAGGGAATTGTTGCAGCCCGGTTACTCTATAATTCCAACCTTATATGGTATCTACAACCACCAATCATACCGTTGTGCTACAATAGCAATCTGATGCTCACTAACTCAAGAACTATGACAATTTTTAAAAAAATCTTCAATATAGTGAAATAAAGCAAATTCCATGCACCTTGTGTTTCTGCAAAGGCGCATGATGATGGCTGCATCCATTCAGCCTTTTTTACCCACATAAAATTCTCTCGTCAACTGCCTGAATTAAACATTCTGCAACTGTTCTTCTCAGGAGCCGCGAATTTCTTTGGCAAGAAGGGCATACAGTTTTTGCAACTAAAGAGGAGTCAGATGAAGAGGTATTAACTACTTATTTATGCACTATTTTAATACTGATTTGTTATGAACTAGAGCTGGTTCACTGGGTTGGTTTTAACCCAATATGAATTACGAAGGGAACAAATGGCTGGTCTGAACTAGAGCTGGTTCACTGGGTTGGTTTAGCGTATGAAGCTATAAGATATGAAACGTCTATTATGGATAAAAGAGTTTATCACTGTTTCGTAAATTACATCACTGGAAAGTTGAAACTCATAACATGATTCTTTCATATCTCAAATACAAATAATCTTATTTTAAGTAATTTTTCCCAATAACTAGTTGCTCAAGTCCTCATGTATCAAAGGCAGACTCGAATGAATGCAATACTGCAGTGTTCATTATAAGGTTTGTTTGGTAAAATGATTCTATGCCAACCTACATGGGGAATTTTAATGTTCACAATTTTATCAGGTTCTCCATATATTGGAACTCTACCGAAGGATATATGAAGAATTTTTAGCAGTTCCAGTGTCCAAAGGGAGGAAAAGTGAGATGGAAAAATTCGCTGGTGGACTTTATACAACTAGTGTTGAGGTATTGACATGAGAACTTTGCTACATCTAGCTTTCTTAAAGCTGCCCTAGTAATAAGGCAAGCGGTTTCTTTATTTTCAGGCCTTCATTCCAAACACTGGCCGTGGTATACAAGCTGCAACTTCAAATTGTCTTGGTCAAAACTTTGCAAAGATGTTTGAAATCTTTTTCGAGGGTGAGAATGATCCCACTCAAAAAAAGAAGAATAAGAAAGATAAAAGGTCCTTGGTGTGGCAGAATTCTTGGGCGTACACCACCCGCTCGGTAATTCTTATTTTCCTACTTGATATGGGTTTCCTTTTCTTTTCTCTGTCTAACTTTTCTTCTGAATGCTGAAGTGTTGGAAATGACAATGATGCTTCCATATTATACAGATTATTGTACTTGCCTGATTAGACATCTTGCTGGTTGATGTAAATTATTTGATTAACTTATAAGTTCACTTTGTAAGAACAGCAGGTGGCAAAATAGGTACATGGCATTTATGACATACATGGTGTTGATTCTATACATAAATAGCTACTTTATTTCAAAAGTATTCTGTTAGCACTGCCAAAGCATTTGCATATCAATAAAAAGGAACTGGTAAGGTGGGGAATGCTGGTGTACATCTGGGTGTATTTTTCAAGACAAAATACGTTTTTGATATTGCCACAGTTCTGCATAATTCTTTGTACCGGTAACTAATATAGTTAGTGTTCTCTTTTGTTTTCCCATCAAATCGAGAATTAGCACTAGCTTTTGGTGCTAATGCAAAGGGCTGTCCATAACCATCTGTGGTAATTTTGTGAATATCATGGGGTGTTTGTATATTGTAGGAAAATGTATTACATTGTACAATTATTTTGTGTCTGAAATATCCCGTCTGAAGTGTTCCCACCTAAATTATGTTCGCATATCTGATATGCAGCAGTTATGATCTTGCAGATTGGGGTGATGGTGATGACCCATGGGGATGACAAGGGCTTAGTGCTACCACCAAGGGTGGCACCTATCCAGGTCATCGTTATTCCTGATCCATTATTAGAGGATGCGGACACGGCTGCTATTAAAGGAGTGTGTGAGACGATCGTATACACTCTAAACCAAGCTGGGATTCGTGCAGACTTGGATGCTCGTGAGAACCACGCTCCTGAATGGAAATATTCTCACTGGGAAATGAAAGGTGTTCCCCTAAGAATCGAGATAGATGTGAAAGATCTGGCAAACAAGCAGGTTTAAGCACAACCTTCTGAAAGATCTGAAAGGATTTGTCAGCATTCGTTTTTTTACAGAGTTAACAAGGATTTACTTCTCATCTTGTCGCGTTTAACTTGTCATCTTCATGAACATTTATTCTGCGGGTAATTTAAGCACAGCCTTCTGTCTTTTCAGGTGCGCGTCGTCCACCGAGACAATGGTGCAAAGGTTGATATTCCTTCGACCGATTTGGTTGAGCATGTAAAGGTGTTGCTGGATGGGATTCAAGATAGCTTGTTTGAAACAGCCAAGCAGAAGAGAGACGCTTGCATTGAAGTCGTCCACACTTGGGACGAATTCACAGCAGCTTTGAATGACAAGAAGCTGATCTTGGCTCCATGGTGCGAGGAAGAGGTAGCTGAAGGCCTTCTCCACATATATTATATTCTGCATCGTTGTAAATAGGCTTTCCGCTCAGCATGTTTGTCATTGAGTTTCTTGCCTTTGGTGCAGGAGGTTGAGAAGGACGTGAGAGCTCGGACCGAAGGCGATCTCGGCTCTGCCAAAACATTGTGTGCTCCATTCGATCAACCAGATCTTCCAGAAGGTATGGTATCGGATTTCCTAATATTTCAGTACATGTGGACTACGTTTTAGGTTTTTGTTTTGCTGATGCTCGTGGCTCTGATCATCTGCGTGTGGTATTTTGCGCTGAAATTTCAGGAACTGTGTGCTTTGCTTCTGGAAAGCCCGCCAAGACCTGGTCGTTTTGGGGCCGCAGCTATTGATTGAATCTTCTCCGTGTGTGCCATGGTAGATGATACCGCCTGCCATGCTGGGATTTTTTCGCCATTCCTTGCCATTTGGGGAGCCCATTGATTTTGAATAGACCTGCAACCTTGGAGTTCCCGCACCCGCACACGCACACACGCACACATATTTAGCATGCGGTGTTGCTTATTACTAGAGGTTAACGTGCGCTTCGCCACGCCGTCCTTCACCCATGGGATTAACTCTTTTTTCTATGTTGGCTTGGGTTTAAATTATGTTATGTTCTTTCGTTCATATATTGTGTTTGCCTGCTACTGAAGACAATATTTTTCTGAGATAAAAGTGAAGTTGTTAGGTGCATGGTTGTGGAGTCCTTCCATGTTTCGGCCTCGGTGTCAGCAGATGGTGGTTGTATGAGCCCCTTGAGAGCTCTCATTCCACGCTGAAATAATGGAATTATTTTTTAAGGGAATTAGTGTTATAAGGCTCACATGGGCCAACACATGAATCATGGAATGGTTGGATTTTTAAAATATTGCAAATCTAAAATATGAATTTTTATAAAACGAATGGGAATTTAAAATTTGTGGATTTCAAATAATGTACATGAGTTTGAAAAAATGAAAATTTAAATAATGTACATGTTCATGAACTTTAAAAATATTCACTAATTAAAAAATGTTCATGAATTAAAAAAATTGTGATTTTTTAAAAAAAGTTCAAAGTCTTTCAAAAAACATGTTTTTAAACGTATTCATGAATTAGCATGTGAAAACTAAAAAAATATAAAGAGAAGAACAAAGGGAAAAGAAGATAAAACAAAGAAACCAAAAAAATATAGGAAATAGCCAAAGAAAAACTATTAAAATCATTGAAAAACACAAAAAAAAGTGAGAGAACAAAAAAACAGGCAATGTTTTCTCAAAATGAAAAAAGGTCGCCTAGGTCCCCATTGTTGAACTGTAGATGGGCCTTGGCCATATAAGACAATAATTCGTGGTTAATCTCTAAGACCCATCTAGGTGCATGATAAGTGGTAAGTTCAGTACCACTTCCCAACTTGAGGAGAGTTGAGGCCCCTTTATATGGGTTGCTTTACCACTTACCATTTGGAGCTTGAGAAGGGGAGTGGTACACATGCACTCCTCCTTCGCCGCCGCCCACCTTGCGTCATGCGTGTGTATCGTGTTTCGTGAATGATTCAAGCCGAGCTCAGACCTATCCTTGTGCTATACTTTTGATGGTCATGAATGATAATTAATTAACGAGTCGTTAACGGATGTGACTCAATCATGGGACTAAGCCCAGGCCCACGACTCCCTACTCGACAACGTATATGAAAGTGCTAGTTATCGACTAGAGGGGGGGGGGTGAATAGGCGATTTTTATCAAAGTCTTCAAAACATGGAAGTTTCGAAGACGAACAATAGAAATAACCTAATTGATATGCAGCGGAAGAAAAACTACAACAAGCAAGCCATAGTCAAGTATGCAATAGCGTTAACGTACGCAGACTAATAGCAGCTAGGTAGTAGGATCAGGATGGAAGATAGTATGAAGCCAATCAACAATAGTAGTCAAGCAATGAAGTCAATCAGATAAGACAGATAAGCAATGACTTCACGAAGACAAACTCAAAGTAAAGGAGGGAAGAGATAGAACCAGTTGCTTGTTGAAGACACAGGATTTGTTGGACCAGTTCCAGTTGCTGTGACAACTGTACGTCTGGTTAGGGAGGCTGAGATTCAACTCAGAAGACTGTGTCTTCACCTTATTCCCCTTGAGCTAAGGACACTTAGTCCTCGCCCAATCACTCTGGTAAGTCTTCAAGGTAGACTTCCGAACCTTCACAGACTTCGTTCACCCGGCAATCCACATTGACTCTTGGATGCTCAGAACGCGACGCCTAACCGGCTGGAGGATTCACAATCCTCAAGTGTAATAAGTCTTCAGGTCACACAGACAGAAAGACTTCAGTGATGCCTAACACTCTTTGGCTCTGGGTGTTTGGGCTTTGTCCTCGCAAGGATTTTTCTCTCTCAAATGCTTCGAGGTGGGTTGCTCTCAAACGACAAAAGCCGTATACTAACTCTGAGCAGCCACCAATTTATGGTGTAGGGGGTGGGCTATTTATAGCCACTAGGCAACCCGACCTGATTTGTCCAAAATGACCCTGGGTCACTAAGGAACTGACACGTGTTCCAACGGTTAGATTTCAAACACACGCGGCAACTTTACTTGGGCTACAAGCAAAGCTGACTCATCCAGCTCTGGATAAGGTTTGCTCTCATTGTCTTCGCTCGAAGACATAGGATTTGAGTTGAGCATCACTTCAGTCACTCTGACTTAGTTCACTTGGACCCCACTTAACAGTACGGTGGTTCCTATGACTCAACAAAGAAGAAAGGGAAGCAACGAATCCACACAGTCTTCGCGCTCCATAGTCTTCACGCAATGTCTTCTAATGTCATAGTCTTCAATATGAATATCTTCTCATACCACCATTGTCTTCAACGTCTTCATACATTTTTAGGGGTCATCTTCGGTAGGTAAACCGAATCAATGAGGGACACTACCTGCGTTATCCTGCAATTCTCACAAACGCATTAGTCCCTCAACCAACTTTGTCGTCAATACTCCAAAACCAACTAGGGTGGCACTAGATGCACTTACAATCTCCCCCTTTTTGGTGATTGATGACAAACTGGTTGAAGTTTTCAACGGGGATAAATACGTGAAATTGTAAGGATGGGAAGTTGCAAGGGCTCTCCCTGAAGATGTGCATGTAAGTAATTTGCTTTTGGAATGCAAATGCACATGGCAGGTTGTACTTGTGGAGATCCACTTCAACTTATGAAGATAATTCATCATGCATGAACTGATATAGCAAGTAGAATGACATGCATAATGAAAAATGGACGTCTGCAGAATGATCTAAGTGCGGAAGTTATCATAGCACATGCGGAATTTATCATCGCATCACAGTAAAGCAAATAAGTAGCAGACGACCATCAAGTTTAGGTGTTACAACTCAGAGAACCAAATGTTTCAAAAGGCAAGAGTTGTAAGCACGCAGCAAAATATAATGCAACCGCCCATATGAACCCGCTTGAAGACTATCAACTCATACGCTTCTCCCCCTTTTGTCAGTAAGGACCAAAAAGGTTTGAAGACATAGAGCATCTACTCGTCAACATGAGTAGGTGAAGCAGCAGGGTTATCGTCATTGGGTGGCGGTGCGGATGAACTTGGTGCAGTGTCGATGCGCGCAGTAGTAGGAGGTGGTGAAGTAGCATCATCTTCACCATCGATCACTCTGGCATTTACCATTGTCGCGGAGGAAGAATATTCGGAGTCTTCAAGAGATGGAGTACGACGCAGGACAGCAGTCCGTGGAGGAGTGGAGTCAAACTGGAATCTTTCATTGAAGCCATCGTCTTGAAGATCAGCTTCAGCACTGAGCAGGGTCAAACTCTTCCATGATCGCCGACAAGTTTCATGAGCAACAAAGGCATTCTTGGGGGCAAGGTTGCGAATGCGATTGACATCCACCAAGAGGCTTTGTATCTGTCTCTTGAGCCAGAAATGATGCTTATCCTGTTTCTGATGAAGGGCCACAAGAAGTTCTCGGTCATTGAGAACGCGAGAACGCTTCCGAGGCCTTTGTGCAATGGTGCTTTCAGTGGCTTCAGTGGGTGCTCGATGAGGCAGACGAGTGTCTCCAGCCAATAGATAGATTCGTGTCGCTGCTTGAACACGTTCAATAGGCTGAGTGAAGCTTTGGTGCTCAGCATTCTGAAGACAAAGAGGCCTCTTGGTAGGGTCAGAGTATATAGCTTCAACTGACATATCAACCTTGTTGGGGAACGTTGCAGAAAATTAAAAAATTTCCTACGGTTTCACCAAGATCCATCTATGAGTTCATCTAAGCAACGAGTCATGGGAGAGAGATTGCATCTACATACCACTTGTAGATCGCGTGTGGAAGCGTTCAAGGGAACGGTGATGATGGAGTCGTACTCGCCGTGATTCAAATCACCGATGACCAAGTGCTGAACGGACAGCACCTCCGCGTTCAACACACGTACGGTACGGACGATGTCTCCTCCTTCTTGATCCAGCAAGGGGGAAGGAGAGGTTGAGGAAGAAGGCTCCAGCAGCAGCACGACGGCGTGATGATGGTGGAGAGGCAGTACTCCGACAGGGCTTCGCCAAGCGCTCAACGGAGGAGGAGAGGTGTTGGGGAGGGGAGGGGCTGCGCCTTGGATCAGGTATTTAGCCCGCCCCTCGCCCCTCTATTTATAGGGGAAGGGGGAAGGGGGCCGGGCCCCTCTAGATGAGATCTAGAGGGGGGGGGCGGCCAGGGAGGGGGCTTGCCCCCAAAGCAAAGGGGGTGCGCCCCCCTTAGGGTTCCCCCCCAACCCTAGGCGCATGGGCCCAAGGGGGGGCGCCCAGCCCTCCAGGGGCTGGTTCCCTGCCCCACGCGGCCCATGTGGCCCACCAAGAGGGGTGGCCCCTCCCGGTGGACCCCCGGAACCCCTCCGGTGGCCCCGGTACAATACCGATATGCCCCCGAAACTTTCCGGTGTCCGCATGACAACTTCCCATATATAAATATTTACCTCCGGACCCTTCCGAAACTCCTCGTGACGTCCGGGATCTCATCCGGGACTCCGAACAACATTCGGTAATCACATACAAGTCTTCCTAATAACCCTAGCGTCACCGAACCTTAAGTGTGTAGACCCTACGGGTTCGGGAGACACGCAGACATGACCGAGACGGCTCTCCGGTCAATAACCAACAGCGGGATCTGGATACCCATGTTGGATCCCACATGCTCCTCGATGATGTCATTGGATGAACCACGATGTCGAGGATTCAAGCAACCCCGTATACTATTCCCTTTGTCAGTCGGTATGTTACTTGCCCGAGATTCGATCGTTGGTATCCCAATACCTCGTTCAATCTCGTTACCGACAAGTCACGTTACTCATACCGTAATGCATGATCCCGTGACC